ACCATGAAAACAAACCGAGCAAATTGGACAGCGTGGGCAACAGTTGATGGCAGGTACGTCGAAAGAACGTCCTCTTTCGATATGCTAGTCTGAACCTGGAGCTTCGTTGGCTCACGCCAGGAACAGACCCGTGAGCCCCCTGCTCGAAACATACGAGTGGAACAAACTCTTAGGTACAGAGTGTGACACACACACAGAGCTTTCTACTAGTGTTTTCTACTTTGGTTACAAAGCAAGTGGACTTTGTTACGCATTGTATGTATGTGAGTTCATGATGTGGAGATGTAGAGCATGTAGGGCAAGCTTCTTTCCTCAACACTCCGACGATGCCACTGACGTCCCGGTTTCACAGGGAATAGACAACCACGCGACGTTTGAAACAAAACATGAGAGCTTGAAGAGCTTGAGTCAAACTGCATACATTTGGTTGGTTTATCAATGGGAATGGCGATGCCAAAAAGAATTAACTGGAGCTTCATGCATTGGGTCTCATGTTTAGGTTCGTGAACTATCTCAAATCACCCATATACTTCCTGGCTTCTCTGTGTGCACACATGGGCACTCAGTGCGATGTCGAAACCACTTGACCACTCCCACGGATGTTCAATTCATTCTCAGCCACTTTGGTGGACCTTTCTCACAGTCTGTGTGAAAGAAGGGATTCCCAAGCGACCAGAGCGGACACTTCCAGGCTCTTTTTCTTTTGAAACGGTGATGTATTTGCCGTTTTCCCCCTGCAGTATTGGGGTAGACAATACTAGTGGGGCTCCTGAACTTTCACGAGTTGAGGTTTAGGGTGTCGGTTGGGATACTCTCCTGAACAGCACTTTATATTAGGAACTCCTCCACTCATGCTCAGGCGGAGCTGGCAGAGGTGCCTCAGCCACAGGTAGACAGGTAGGAGCTAGAATCCAAATGTCTCCAGCATGGCTCCATTTGTTTTTCTTTTTTAGATCAGGCATTTGCATCTTCACAGCTTCCGGTCTATACTATTTGATATTTAAAATTTAGTGTTTGCAGGTGTTCAGAAAGAGATTCATCCCATTTAGTGTATAAGTGCTCTCCAGCGGTGAGCTGGCTAGGCCGTTTGTTGTTGGACGTCACGACCGGTTTGTACCCCGTTTCCGGCGCTTCCCACTTCTTCAGAGGTGGAACTGTCGGAGCGCTAAAGATGTTTTCTCTTGCAACCCTCCAGCTACGGCTTCCAAGACTTGCACGCGCTGGCGCGCCGATCGTTGCTTTTCTGCTTCTCATCGCGTGAGGCTTTGATCAAAAAGGCCACGTTCTTCGAGGCTGGTCGGTTCTCTTCGCTGAAGGGGGGTGAAGTGGTGTTGTCAAACCATGGATCCATCAAAGATGCCACCTGAGAGGCCTGCAAAGGGCTAGCTGACCGTCCGCCCGGGCTTCTCAGGTCTTATCGGGCAGGAATGAAGCCGGGCCACTGGACAGTTGATGATGCCATGTTGGCAAAGGCAAGAGTAGGATGAAAGTGACAGAGATGAAGTCACGTTTGCACTTGTCTCGGTACGTATACATTTATAAATATAAGATAAGTGTTTCCAGTCGAGGTGCTTATGACCTGGGATGTGACATTGACGGGTTTGGATAAGTGTTTTGCAATCAGAATGTACACCCTTCCAACCTCTGGTTGATCTGGAACCCATCAAGACTCTGGTTGAACAGAGCCTCAATGTAAGTGCCCCAGAGGATATTTTTCTCAGATGTCAGATATCATTCGGCCACTTCTGGACACTAAGCCCGGGGATAAAGGTGCGAAGCCACCAATGGTCCATGCTAACAATCCGCGCGCACCTCTAACCAACACCAACACCGCCGTATGCACACAAAAAAATCCAGTGTGTTCCGCGGACACAATTCTTGGTCGCGCGGGTTGTGTCGCGGCTCCCAGCGTCCTAGCTCTGTATCCCCAAACACATCGAGGAATCATTGCCCCGTCATGTTCACAGACTGCACCGCAGCCAATGCGCCCTTTGACCGCGGGCGTAGCGTCCGGTTCCGTGACTGACTTCCTTGTTTTTAGCTGCTGTAAGAGAGCTAGCTAGAGGGGAAAGCACCTACCTCACTCCAACTGCCCAGGAGATTTGTTCACTGCTATACTCTGAGGACCTTGGCTACCGAGGTATCGATCTGGTGAGTCTGTTGCTTGGCATCGCCATCGGGCTGTTTTTGGGGCCACTATTTCGTCAGGCACTCTGTTCCCCGGTTGCTTCGATCAGCTGAAGTGTCTCCTCGGCCGCTGTTATTCAGGGTCTTGGATGGGCAGCAAGGACGTTCGCAGGTTGCGCATCGAAGTTGAGTGCAGGT